CCTCGGATCCAACCCGAACGGCTTGAGGGGATACTGTTGATGACGTAAATCCTGCATCACCTCAAGGACCCTAAAGCATGGGAATTATGGTATGTTCCTCACTATGGGTATTGCAGGATTTCTATCATCAACCGTATGTAGGATTTTAGACATGCAGAATAAGGATCGTAAATATTGACAGATAGGATGGCAATTTTCAATGGCCTACGGCTCGTTTGGTGTTTTAGGGTTTAGGGTTGGGGAGAAAGTGAGCAAATGTGCAGGCTCCGACTGTTTCCTCCAGTGCCTCCTTCTGGATCCTTGAGATGTGGGTTTAGGGTTTAGGGGTGTAGGGGTTAGGGTTCAAGGCATGACATCTCTTCAGAATCTGTTGCAAAGACCCTGGCAGAGACCGTCGCCACAAACACCTTGATCCCCGAAAACACCCTTGACCCGCAGAGCCTTTCCAGTAAAACCTATTCCGGGCTCTGCCCACAGCAAAAAACCCGAGACACGAAATCCGGAAACCGCCCGTGGACACGGGTCGAGAGGCGAGGTCGTTGCACCCGCCGCCTCACGAGCAGGTGGAGTTGTTCCGGACTTAGGGTTTAAGGGCCAAGGTCCGGTGCAGGGTTTCAGGGCCGAAGATTGCACGCTAATTGTGCAGCGCAAAGGGTTCGCCGCACAGGCCCGGGCTATCCAATCAGCATCGGACCGTCACTATGAACAAGTGCAACGCGCACTGCTGATCTCGAGGAGGGGAGGTGGGGGGAGGAAGGTTTAGGGCTTCAAGCTATGACGATGTTGGCCATAGGCCAAATCGAATCCTTCTTAACTAGTTGGAGTCAGGAGGCCGGAGCGCAAATGGCGCACTGCTTCTTGCCAATGCTCCTGGACGGAGTAGGACTCGTCGTAGCGATTGACCTGAAGGCTTGTGCATGGTTTACGGCCACTTGAACTTGAGGTTTAGGGTGGAGTTTGGGGCTTGGGATTCAAAGCACTCACTTTGGCTCACCGAACCATGGACAGGGAATCCCACACTCCACAGCCCACGAGCCACAATTCCGGAAAATTCTCCGGGAGCATCCCTGTTATCATCGGCTACTATCAACACAGGTACCTGAACGGGGACATCAAATCACCAACCTGCACGGCGAGATAATACTTTGGAAACAGCCAAGCCGCTGCACCAAAACTCCGACAACGCTGTGGTGTGATTCCAACATGCTGGCGCCGGAATGTGTCAGCGCATCGGCCCTAGCATGTTAGGGATGCCCTGCATGCAGCTCTGTGCATGCTGTGGCGCTCGCTCCTTTTCTCCGCAGCTGGTGGTCAGTCTTAAGCTTGAGGGGTTGGGCCAAGACTCGAGGGTTGGATCACGGCAACATACAAACGCAAAGCACCAAAACCCAAATGCTCAATCATTCGACACCAAGAAGGGGAATCCGACAACACTCAAGTGCAAACCCCAAACCGTAAAAGCCCGGACCCTGACTCCGGCCCCCTAAACCCTGAACCCACACCCCACTCGGGAGTCCGGACGAAGCAGCCCGCTGACGGAGAAGGGAGCACCTCAGTGAACGCACTGTAATTCATTGGAATCGAGCACATGAAAGAACAACAGCCTGCTTTGTTGGCAAGATTCCTTTGAGCCCCATAGTAATTCTGTACAAGCGGGGCGTTGAATCAGGACTCTACCAACAAGCAGATTAAGTTGTTTAAGGGTTTGCCTCCAGAAGTGGAGTGGGGGTTTGACAGCCATTCAAGTATTAGTACGAACATAGGTACATATACACACATATATACAATATGTGTATGCGTGTATGTATGTATGTATGTATGTATGTATGTATGTATGTATGTATGTATGTATGTACATACGTATGTATGTATTTATGTATGGATGCATGCATGCATGCATGTATGTAGGTAGGTATGTATGTATGTATCACTTTCCCTTAACGCAACGGACAGACACACTACTTTCGCAGCAAAGTCGAAAGTTGGAATTGGGATCGGGCGACTAATTGGCAGCCGCATCGGCTGCTGCAATATGATGGCGCACTTGTCGCGAAGAAGAGAGTCGAGCCTGGCCCAAATTTAAACCTTCAAGGCGGACGGGTGGGGAAAAAGCTGGAACCTGGACAAGCAGCTCCTGCACACCAGACGATCTGATCTGACAAACTCAAGTACTTCAACGCATTCATGCAAAGTCATAGTTCTGCACGGCGAGGGTGAGAGTCCCATGTATTTATGCATGTACGTACATGCGTACGTATGTATGTATGTATGTATGTATGTATGTATGTATGTATGTATGCAAGCATGTACAGATAATTCTACCCGCACACATTCTAGATAGGTAGGCTGGGCAGACCATGCAACACCGCTATGCCTAAGACACACGACACCCCCCGAGAAGCCTAAACCGGAGGTTAACACTCACTCAGACCCAGATAGTACCGGATGATGACCCCTGAACCCTAAACCCTAAACTCTAAACCCTCAAACCCAACAATGATGAGGATCCCAAAATTAAGGTAAACCTGACCGTGGAACCTTGCAAGCCTGACTTCTCTTCCAAGGCTCCGTGGAGCAGTAGCAGAGCACCCGCAACAGCCGGCTGTAGCCTTGGAAGCTCCCGGGGATGGTCCGTGCTACTCTTCTCATCAACCCCGCACCCGTCAGACTCTTCTCATGATCACTGCCAACCCGAAACCCATGGGCGAAGCAATACGATGAAGCCATGAGGCACCTTGTCATGTAGGTCTTCAACCGCCCGGAATTCAGCTCGAAAGTTGTTAGAGGGTGTATAGGAGTTTCAGGGCCTCCACCCGACTCCTTGAGGCAGAAGGGGCTCGAGTTTAGGGTTTAGGACTTAGGGTTTAGGGTTTAGGGTTTGGGTCCTGCCC